AAGAGGATTAAAAGACAGGAAGCCAGACAGAGGAACAGTCAGCCACACTGACCCAGGTGGGGGGGATACGAGAGGTCTCCAACAGCAGGACAAACTTGTCTGTCGGTTTGTCCTACTGTGGTGACATGTAGACGTGAGACTCAATTGGCACAACAAATTACATAACAATCTTGTTCTACAACATACATTGGTGAGTAGAAACTGGGGTCTTAAAAGGTTTCAAGTGGCCATCTAAGATGCAGCTAATGGTCTCCAATCATCAGAAGAGAAGAAGAGTGGAAAACACCAAGGCCTTTTGGAAGCAATCAGCCCTAAGACATGATGGCCCTCGAGACCAGAAGAACTAGATGGTGCTGGCTACCAATGCCAACCGCTCAGGAAAGGGTCAAGTCTGGAGATCCTGAATAGAGTGGGAGGAAAAACGTGGAACAAAGTCCAAAAACTCAATAATGACCAGAATTACTGGTTGGATGGAGTCTGGTATGGCCCTGGGACATACTTCGGGCCTGGGATAAAACACTCCCAGGGGCTGGCTCTCAGCCCAGTAGTAAACAAGACATACACACAGTCCACTCAACCCAGGGTGACATGGCCACATACTCTTTGGAGACGCATCCCTTGGCACAATCGACACAGAGCACCACCGGGGCAACATTCATACAGAGGAAATGCAGGACACACAGGAGTGCGTAACTACGAGGGGCACAGGGGCGGTTACTGGGCAGGGAGGAGAGCGGGTTAGGGCTGGGGAGGGTAACTGAGGAGCGAAACCAAATGTGCACAAAATGTTGAATGTAAAACTCTGCTCTGTGAACCTGCACCTAACCACAACTAAAAAGAAAAGAAACGCAGACTCTCAGGTACCATCTCTGACTTCCTTTTTTATTTTATTTTTGCAGTGTTCCCTCCCCACTTCTCCTTGTCATTAGGTGCCCTTGAGTCAATTTCCTGCTCATAATGACCCCATGTGCCAGAGTAGACCCCACTGCCCCACAGGGTTTTCTAAGCTGTAACCTTTCCAGGAACAGATCACCAGGTCTTTCTCCCACAGAGCAGCTGGTAGGTTTGAACCCCCAACCTTGCAGTTAGCAGCCAAGTGCTTAACTATTGTAGCAACAGGGTTCCTCTGAAGCAGAACCTTCAGAAGCAGCGGGAAGAGCCTCCTGGAAGGCTCACACAGAGAGAGGAGGGTCCCCATCTCCCCCTCGGGATCCTCAGCCTCTATGGGCTCCAGCAGCCCCTGGCCTTCATCAGAGAACTGCAGAGGTCTCTCGCCACTTTCTTATTCAGCCCTGGCCCCACACAGCAGGGTGCAAAACATCTCTCACCCTGGGTTAGCTTCCGATTAGAAGGGAGAAACACTGGCTTCCACCCTCAGTTCCTTATCTGTCAAATACCTCCTTCCGGTTGTCTTGAGGGTTCAAAGGGGATGACAAGTCTGAAGAATCAGACAAAACACGTAGCTGCTGTCCAGGGTCCCTGCTCTGCTCCTCAACCACTAAGGCAAATGCTCTGGTTTCCAGGGAATCTGCGTAAGTTGGTTTGGTTCACTTTTCAGTGAAGAGAAGGACTTTTCAAAGCTTCTACCCCTTGACTCTCTGCCACCTGAACTTGGGGACTCTGGGGTCCATGCAGGAGGGGGTCCTCTAAGCCACATGCATGACATTTGTTACAGGGTCAGCTATGACTCTCAATAAATAAGGTAATGCATTATTTTTAGATACAAGCAGAAAAAAAGTATTACGGAATAGAATGCAAAATCCAAATGAATTTCTAAGGTAAAAGAGGAGGTATCAAATTTCCCATTAGTGAGCTGCAGTGGGTCACAGGACCTGGGAGGGCAGAGAGGAGAGAAAGCCACCTGTGTGAGCATGCCCCTGCCTCTGGAGGTGTCAATGAGAGGGTCCAAGGACCATGGCCTTCTCACATCTCACAGAAAAGCCAAATGCAGATGCCTGGCCCACCAGGGTGATATCACAGTGTTCCCAGCAGCCCTTGGGGTCCCTGAGGCCTGTGCTGGCCATCAGCCTTTGGCCGCATCAAGTAATACAGTTTCCAAGTAGGTCTTTAGGGGCACTCGTCCCTCCTCGAGGCTGTATGAACTTTAAACAATTAAACCTCGAGAACAGAAACAAGGGCACGGAAACGTTCTTCCATGGGCATTGCCTACTGCCCAGCAGAGACATGAACCACAGATGCCCGGTGCTCTGGAAGGGCAGAGGCTCAGAAGTTACCAGGGCAGGAAAAGGGCTCAAATACACTGAAAGCCACATTGTTTGCCCCTAGTGACAGCACCCACAAAACAGCCCAGGCCCCTGCCTGGGTGGTCCTCGAGCACAGCCACAGAGAGTCGGGAATACAGAAGTGTCCCATCAGATGTGCAATAAAAGACCACGGGAGGAGTTACCAATGTCTAGAGCCATCAGCTGAAACTGGTCTGGAAAAGCAAAGACAAAGGGCTCCTGGGAAAATTCACAGCGGGTTGGGCAGATGACACATGATATATGTGGGCGAGTGCGGGAGCCACCATATTTCAGAAGAACAAGGTTAGGCAAGAGCCACATAAGGGTCACAAGACCTAAGCTAGACAACCATCCACAGGCTATCCAGAGATGGACAATGGGAACTAGAGACAAGAAACAGGCACAGAGAGGCTTAGAAACTTGGTCACACTCACAAAGAGAACCAACCTCAGAGCTAGGATGGAACCCAGGTCCACCTAACGCCACACCTCACTCTCCCCCCAGACATCCAGCCATTCCATCCCAGGTTGCCTTCTTCAGAAAAAGCCACCACACAGCATACAGAACCAGCCAAGCTGACACTGACGGAGGGACAGAGATGGCCCTGATAACGAGGTTTGCAGGAAATCCCTGCCCACTGCCCAGAATCTGCTTCAATGAACATCCAAGGGAATCCCTTTCTATTGCTCTCCTCTCTCCTGCCTGTCCTCCCCCCAGTGGAGGGAGAACAGCAGAGCAACGGGTCAGCAGAGCTAGCCGTGGGCACCGCAAGCACCCCAGAAACCTAGGCAGATGGGTGAAGATGGGAACCATAGCAGAAATGCAGGCCAGGGTCCACAAGAAAACTGAGGTCAGAGGTCAGAGCTACAATCAGGACCTGCCCTACCTAGCTGCCTGCCCTGACCCCACAGCACTGGGTCTGACTTGCAGAGCAGATTTGGGGCAGAGGCTCTCATTTCTTGGGCCACAGAGACTCCAAAACATGACCTATGGCAGGCCCAGGACCCAATGGAGTAATCTTTTTAGCATCCCATCAAAGGAAAGGGTATTTGGCCTGGAGCCCAAAGACCAGCTGCAAGTCCTATTGCTCAACAATAGTTAACAAGTACGTGCCAGGAGTCTGCTCTGTGCCTGTCTGAGCTAGGAGTAACCCAGATGCAGCTCCTGCCCTCCAGAAAGGAGTCTATGGTCCAGGTGGGGAGTGAACCATAGACAATTAAACAAAGGAAGAGCTCACTAAGTTGAACCACATGAAACTTGTGTTTAAGGTCAAAATTGGTTGACCGTAACAATTTCATATGGTTCAATGTAATTAGAAGTTATCTTTAACACTACAAAGAAATTCAACAGAAAGCAGCAATTGAGAATAACAAGGGGAAATGAAAATGAGGAACCCAGGGAGGAACTGGGAAGTGTACTGTTTTACATTGAGGGGATTGCAGATAAAGTCATGAACAAAATGTATATAAATTGTTGGACGGGAAACTAATTTGTTCTGTAATCTTTCACCCACACATCAACAAAATGGTTTAAAAAAGAGAAGAGTAACAAGGGGGCTCAACCCAGGTAGATGGGGTAGGCAGAGAGGGTCCAGAGAGGAGGTGACATTTCAGACAGCTGCAGAGGAGACAGAGCCAGCAGGACGAATGGAAGAAGAGCGTTCTTCACATGCTATGAGGACCAGCTCGGCAAGGACTAAGCAGCAGCACCCTGAAGCTCAAAGCAAAAAAAAAAAAAAGGTAGTAATATGGTGAGGACGAAACACATAGCTTCCAAGACAGGAAGGTTTGCAAGAAGCAGAAACTTCAGATCCCAACCTGCAACCTACTTCTCCCCAGATCCCTGAAAACCAGCACAGCAATGGAAGGCCCCCGATTCTGAGGCCTTGACACCAATGGGCCACCAAACCAAAACCAAAACCAAACTCACTGCCATCAAGTCAATTCCAACTTATAGCAACCCTCTTTGGGTTTCTGAGGTAGCAAATCTTTACAGAAGTAGACTGCCCAGTCTTCCTTCCACAGAGTGGCCGGGGGTTTGAACCCCCAATCTTCTGGTTAGCAGAGTAAAAACGGTAACAAAGGTTATGCACACTGTGATAGACCGGATGCTCTAGTCACCCTCATTCCTCACCCTTCCTATACCCTCACCCTGTGCCATGTAACTTACAGACCCTCCCACTTCTGATGCTCAGCCTATGTGCTCTGCTTTGGTCAAAGAGACAGAGGTTAGCGAGCATGAAGCAGAGGCCTGACAGAGGCCCCACACGCTTCCCCTGGCACGTCTGCCTCTGCCACCAGAACAGAGGGAATGCCCAGACTTGCTCACTGGTTCCAGAGGAAGGAAGAGAGACAAGAGGAAGGAAGATGAGCCACCCAGTTGGTCTTGCCAAGGCCATCCAGACTGCCAGCCTCGACATGACTGGGCCCAGCCAAGGGCAGCAGCTGCCTGGCCCAGCACCCTAGATGCATGAGCAGTGAACCAGATGGCTGCCTGCCACGAGGTTGTGAATGTTACATGGTATTACTGTGGCAACAGACGGTGATGCCACACAGTAGGTACTTCACGTCTGTCCACCGAATAAGTAAATTCTAATTTCATTTCTAAATACTTGTGGTTTAATAAATTATTAATCAATTGTGCAAACTTCGGTACCTTCTATACAGGTTTTCTACAAAAATGTATCTTGCGCTGTGAATCGACCTCTCCATCAACCGTACAGGTGACATCTAAAGGAAAACAAAAAGCGATTCACTCACTGAGACAAAGAGGAGGCCAGGAAGCCTTGAGGAGGGCCTGTGACTCCCCTGCCTGAGGCCTTGGAGCGTAAGGCAGTCACCGGACCAGAGCCCGGTCTAAAGGCAGGCTCCGCTGCGTCTCTCCCGCCACCTGAGGCCTGGTCGCCTGGGAGCTCAGTGCAGCACAGCAGTGCCTGGCTGCCGGCTCTGCAGCAGCTTCCTTCACAGGAGAGGGGAGGCTCAACCGGAATGTGGCCAGAGGCAAAGCGCGGTGGTTAAGCATTCCCGACCTAAGAGTCTGTGTGGTGAATTCGCTTAAGGAGAAGGATCCATAAGCCTGAGCTAGAACCCCAAGGGGACTGGGTTAACAGTGAGGTTCTAGGGACTCTGCCACTGAAGGTCTGGCCTACAAGGGGACTCTTCACCTGCGCTGCCTTCCCACAGGGCTGGGACAGAGATCACTGCAGTGCTCTGGAAGCTGAGAACTGTGTCAGGAGTGAGAAGGAAGATGCCACCATGCCCCTCTGTAACACAACACTCCACCCTCCACCTACAACCTTCTCTTTTGTCCACGGGCACCTTTGGGAAGCAGGAGGGACCCTGAATTTAGATACCAAGTGGGTAAACACTGCCCTCCTCACTCAGCAGCCCCGGGCACCCATGGGAGTTGGGCCAGCACACTGCACTCTCCCTGCTTGTCTGTCTGTCCACCTGTCCACTTCTCTTTACTTATGACCCTCAGCTGTCCACTCTGTGCCAGCACCTCATTCATCCATCTCCCTCTTTCAGCTCGTCTGTCTCAGACTGTCCATTTCTCTCCCTCCCTCCTTCACAGAGGAACCCACTAATGTCCCATCTTAATTAACCTTGCAGATGTTTTAGATGCAATTTAGGTTGGCAACTGAGTGTTCACTCTGGAAAAGTAGGCTGGGCAAAGGGGGAAAGCACCAACCTCAGACTCTCACCCGTACCTTTCAGAGGCGTGGGGAGAAGACGTTTCTAGTCATCACAAAGGTTCAGCTTATATCCTGACATTTTTAAAGGCAAAGGGCTTATGTAGAAGGGCTAAAGCTGCAGCTGCAGGCACCAGGCCAAGGGCTGTGTGAACAGAACTGGCTGCAGGGATACCCCATGTCCTCCATGGAGCCTCCAAAGCCAGTCTCTCAGGTCGCGTTTACAGTTTTGAACCACAGGTGCCCATCAGGATCCCCTGAGCCGCTCTTTCTTCTATAAGACTCTACCCCTATCGTATCCCTGCTAGTTGATCAGGCCTAAGCAGCCATGTCTGTGCCCTAAGATCCTGCCCCAACACCTGACTGGGTCAGAGCTGGACACCTGACCCAAACTGAGCCAATGAAATTCTTCCTCTCAAGAATTAGCACTAAGTGCCAGATCCTGTGAGCTAAAATCAATGGTTCTCAAACTTACACATGGATCAATTTCACCTGGAAGGCTTGATGAAACACAAGTTGTTGGGCCCTGTCCCCAGAATTTCTGATTCAGCAGATCTAAGGTGGGGCCAGAGAGTCTAACATTTCTAACAAACTCCCATGGGCTGCAGCTGCTGATTCAGGGACCACCCTCTGAGGAGTAAATCGAATGCCACTGAGCCCAGGAGCTGCAGCGTCATGAGGACCTGGGCTCAGGGCACCATCAGTCAGCCACTTGCTGGCTGCGGTTGGATGGGGGCCCTGGTGGCTGGTCCTCACACAACCACAGGGACAGGAGCCCTTGGCCTCAGAGACACAGAAGACTGAGCCCTGAAGGCCCGGCCCAGCTTCCTTGTGAACTGGGTCTCCCTTCCCTGCAATCACACACCCAACCTGCAGAAGATATTCTGAAGGTTCAACCTGAAGGTTGAAACTGAGCACCCAGAACGTACCTGAGGACAGGTGTGCTGGTCCAGCATGGTGAGCTGCACGTACGTCTGCAGCGTGAGGCCCCATCGGCAGGGGTCCTGGTACATCAGACCCTGCAGAAGAACAACACAGCACTTTACCTCAAAGTGGCATCTGTAGGACCCTGCTGTTTGGTCACTAACAGCCATCTCATGAAACCTACTTGGGGCCAGAGGGAACACAACATGACCACAGGGTCCTCAGAACAGGACAGAGAGAGGGCAGGCACTGCAGCAACTACAGAACAACCCGGCGACAGCTATACCAGGAGGCCCTATAAAGTCCCTGGAACATTCATTCAGTCAGTCATTCAGTGAATATTCCCTGAGCCCCTGCAGTCTCCTCTCTACCCAGCAGCCAACCGGAACCTGTTGAACCTCAATCAGCGAAACCTAAAGCACTAACCTGCTCAGAACCTTCCAGGAGCTCCCCACTGCAGTCATGTCTTAGTTACCTCATGCTGCTATAACAGATACCACAAGTGGATGGTTTTAACAAACAGAAATTTTCTCAGTTTAGGAAGCTCAAAGTCCAAATTCAGGATGCCAGCTACCAGGGAAGACCTCTGTCAGCTCTGGGGGAAGGTCCCTGTCTCCTTTCAACAGCTTTGGCCCCAGCATCCCTTGGAGATTGTGTCCTGGTGTCTACCTTCTCCCAGGTCTAGGACATGCTCTATTCATGGCTCTCCCTTCTTGGTGATAACGAGGGCCCTCCTTCTCTGCTCGATTCTCTCTCCTTTTCATCTTTTGTAAGATAAAAGGTGATTACAGGCCACACCCCCAAGGAAACTCTCCTTACATGAGCAGGACTGTAACCTGAGTAAGGCCACTGCATCCCACCCTAACCCCTTGACAACTAACTGGTTGATCACTTGAGATCACAAGATGGAGGATGATTGTATCATTACAGAACTGCCAAACCACTGAGAGTCATGGCCCAACCAAGGTGACACACTTTGTGGGGGAAACAATTCAATCCATGACAATTCAGAATGAAATCCAAAGCCTTTACCCTGGCCCACAGGGGCCTAGAGAATCCTTCTGTCTTCTCTGCCTCCTACCATTTTCCCTCAGGCTCAGTCAGCCTCTCACCACAGAACAGAGCCTCCTTAGTGACCCCCAGGTGCAGCAAGCATGATTCCACCTCAGGGCCTTTGCGTCTGCTGTCCCTTCCACCTGGACGCTCTTCCTCCAGGGATCTGCACTACTCACATCATTTTGTTGAGGTTTCTGCCCAAATGTCACTCATCAGATCCACTTTCCCTGTTATCTTATCTAAAATAGAAGCCCACCACATCGCCCATAGACATCAGACCCAAAACACTTCGTACCCCTTATCCTACTTGCAATAATCTTTTGCTCTCTTCCATATATATGTATGTTCTTTTTTTCCCTTTTGGGCAACTCTGACGCTCTGCACTGAAAACAGCAGGCCCTTGACCTGAAGTCGAAAGAAAATCTCAGGAAGGTTAGAAACACTGTCGCCCTTCAGCTGCAGAAACGGCCCTCTCTGCATCAGACCACCACTCCCAATCAAGTGAAGCAGGATGATTCACAAACTCATCAATCCTGCTCTTCTGTGCACACTGAAACGTGGGCAAAACTGTCTAAATCTGCTGTATTTTTTATTATAAAATTCTCACTGAAAGTGCTATCTGTACCAAGGATCCTGAGGCTTCTGAGACTGTGACTCTGTCCTGTGAACTGTCACATAAAACCATAATGGCTGCAACTCTAGCTCTCACCTAATAACCCAGGCCTGCTCCTGTTTTCTAGAGAAAATGAATGTTCTGCAGGTTTCTATGCTGCACCCGAGGAGGGGAACCACCATTCCGTCCCCACAGGCAGAGAGGCAAGATTCATTTCATGGCTCTGGGAAGTCTCGTTCACACACAGACTCGGAGGTCTTGCCGTAAGTAACATCCTTCTACCTCCTCAGCCATCTTCACAGCTCTAACTCCCACATACTACACATTAATTGTCTTCTGTTTCCTCACATGGACTGCTTGGAGCCAGAGCAGGGGCTCTGTGATGCTCACTGCTGTACTCTCAGCATCTAGAATGGTGTCTGCCATGTGCAAGAAATACTCACTGAATGAACGAATGAGCGTCGACTACGTGCTGGGCAGTGCACTGCTCTAGCAAACAACGGCAAACCAAAACAGTCCCTGCCCCGTACGGAACTCAGGGTCTTATGAACCACACAAGGAAACAGCACCTGTGCTGCTAAAAACGGGGGCAAGAGATGGCAGACTTCAGAGGCCAAGGTTCACCTCTACATGTGTCATTTACCAACTGCATGGCCTTGGGCAACTTACCTGAGGTACAGTTTCCTCACCTGAAAAATGAGACTACTAGTACCTACGTGTCCCGAGGAGGGGCTCAGAACCTACATGCTCTCTGAAGCTCCCTCCTGCAGCACCCAGCTCTCTCCAGAAACCAGAGCCTCTGGAACTGGGAATAAGGAGGAGGGGGACTGCTGCTGCTCACTAAGTCTTCCCTTGGGAAAACAGAAAGTGGGTTCAGGGGGAGCAAGAGGGCACCCCTCTCCTTGGACGGGCCAAGTCCAGTTTAAATCAGAGGTTTTCCATGGACCCTGGTTATTTGGAGATAGGTCCTGGGGGCCAGGCCTGGACTTCTAAAAGGAGGGTGGGGGTGAGCAACGAGAGACGGGCAGCTGAGATCAGCCACCTGAGAGAGCAGATGGGACGTCCACCCACACCGCCTCGGAGATCCTTGACCTCAGAACATCAGCATGCCGCCATTTTCCACTTGCCCCCTCCCTCCTCCTCCTGTCCCAGGCAGGATGCCAGATGAGGCTCAGCTCAGGCATCAGCACCACCTCCCTCAGCTGCTTGAGGGGACAGGGTGGTTCGTGCCAAAACAACTCGCTCACCAAAGGATTATGGCCACGGACATTTCTCCACTTGGACACAGGCTCTGCAAACACCTAGAAAGAAAGAAAACATCAAGGAGCCACTCTTCTTTGATTCTGAGCTCTGTGAAAGCACGTAAGTGTTGAGAGAGACAGGCAGAGAATGAATGAATCAAGATTCGGGCAACCACCAGGAATGAACTGGCTGAGCAGGCCCCTCTGCAGGACTACAATGCCGTCCATATGGGATTGCCTAACGCAACTTCCAGAAACAGCCCAAGAACATTCTATCCATCTCTGTAGGCCAAGTGTATGTGCATCTCGCCTCTCTGGTTGCCCTGGGAGCTCCCCAAGAACAGGCTAGTCCTGTCTAGCCCTCCACTGCATGTTCCATCCCAGCCCCCAGGTCCATACTGCCCACCATGTCAAGCTGGAAGGAAGGTGGGAGGAGCCAGGAGGGAAGCCAGACAGCCCCAGGCTTGAAACCCAGGTCCCCAGTTGGGTGCTTTCTGTGACCTCGGCAGATGGCTGCACCTCCATTTCTTCTCTGTGACCTTGGCATTGGGCACACTGGCAGCTGAGAGCCTGCTTATTTAATAGCTACCCTGTCTTCCTGGTGTAGGAGCCATTCTCTCCCTCTGGTCCCATTTGAACCTTTCAGATGACTGCAATTTCTCCAACATCTCCTGGAATACAGATCAGCCCTCTGTGGAGCGGTCTGAGGCGCCACCTGTGGGCCAGGCAGGGCTCTCACCTCCCCCAATCCCAGGCTGAGTTTAAGGACATGTGCTGGGAAGAATTTAAATGGTGTTCTTCAGGCCAAGGTTTTGAGAGTAACTGGATCCATCTGGGGACCTTCTGAGTATACATCAGCAAAGCAATAGGACCCCAGGCCCAAAGAAGAGTCCCCCATAACACACACTCTTCATACCTCTATGCTTTTGCTCATGGTATTCCTTCTGCCCGGCATACCCAGTTGATCCCACTTTACATCAACTTTCACTATATGGAAAACTCCTACACATTCTTCAAAACCCAGCTCAAATACCCCTCATTGGTGAATCACCAGTTCCCCCTCTCCTCCTCCTGAGGCTTTCACCATACTGTTCCTATCCTGAGATAGTATCTGCTCTACCATACAGTTCCACCAGAGGCTGGGTCACAGGCAGCCTTGCTCCCTGGGCCCAGTTCACATTATATTTCTATTAGACAGGCCTGGCCTACACTTTCTCTAAATTACTCCAAGATTTTCCAGGGTCCTTGGAACCCCGTGTAGAGGCCATACCTCTAAGTCTGTTGTGCTAGAGAAGAACTCCAGGCATGTGGTCTTCCCACTTGCAATATTGCCCTCGACACAGATCTGGCAAAAGACAAATGTATGTTAGAACCAGAAAACAAACACCTAGAGGAACATGAGAGCACAATGTCTGGGAAAGAGCTCATGTGAACATGGTAACTGGTTCAGCCCTACATATCAACGAATAAACTTAAAACCGTCCTCAGGAAACCCCCAAGGTCCTATTATTAATAAACAAATGGATCCCCTCAGTGGCAGGCTCAAGGCCCCCACTGGTGGTCACCAGACCACTTTCCTGAGACCAAAGCGTCCTAGAGCATGCACGGCTTGCCTACTCACACTCACTATACCCTTCCCGAGCTCGACCCTAACAAACGTAACTGTCCTGCCTTCATAACCAAAACTAAAGTCTCTGAGGTCAGGAAGCATGTGTGTTATTGCACTGTGATGAACTGCTTTTATATGTGGCCTTTCCAGCCATGGTCTTAAAACATCCACCAAACGACCCCGTGGGCTATGCAAATAAGGTACTTGCAGTCCACTAAGGGGTTGGGGGAGCTCTGGTAGCATAGTGCCTAAGACACTTCACTGCTAACCAGAAGGCTGGCGGTTCAAACCCACCAGCCACTCCTCGGAAGGAAGATGGGGCAATCTACTTCCATAGTGACTGCCTCGGAAACCCAAGGAGGGGTCGCTATGAGTAAGGTCCGACTCGACAGCACATAACAACAAGGGGACTGGACAATTTGCTAATAACGCAAATAAGACACATGGAATCTTGTGGGGAACCTTGCAATTAAGGTATACGGAACCCTAATGAGGGGATCAGTCAATTGTGCCATCCTGCTAGGCTTAAAATGAGTCATCCCAGAGGTAGAAAGGGGAGAGCTGACTACCACCCAGAAGAGCTGGGAGTGGATCATGTCCTTTGGACTCGGGACTCCTGCCCTGAAAACCTCCTAGGCCCAGGAGAGAGAAAGAGACAGATGGCGAGCAGCAGTGGCAGCAGCAACAGAAACAGACGACTGGCTGGAGACGCCGCGGTGGGCTTCCCAGCCCACGGAGCAAGGAAGCTGAGCACCTTCAGGCAGGAGGCTTGCTGGCAGAGCGGAGTGCCTCTAGGCACTTATTAGTGGCGATAAAGAGCTTTGTAACACCTGCCTATGCACGGCAGAGGCTGGGCATGCTCAAGAGGCCCATGGGGCCCAGGTGGGCACCCAGAGAGAGGCCTGACTACAGGCATAGCCAATGAGCTGTCCTGACTGAAGAACTGTATCCTGAGTCTTTCCTAATCCTGAATTATAATCTGTTATTTCTCTAATAAACCTCATAATTGTAAGTGTTGTCTGCGATTTCTGTGTGGCCACTGCAATGAATTAAAGAACCCTGCAGAGAAGTAGAGAGTGTGGGGGGAGGGCTAGCTGGGGGCAGAACTGATGGGAGAGAGGAAGTATCTGAGCAGCGCGTCACAGGAATTACCCTCGGGCTGATGCTGATGGGGATCCTCTCTCCCTCTCGTGAAGTCAGAGGAAGTCAGATACCCCTACCACGCCACATTTACAGTTATGGTGCTCATGTGGAACCTATGCATAGACCAGGAGGCAGTCGTTCAAACAGAACAATACTGCACGGTTTAAAATCAGGGAAGGTGCGTGTCAGGGTTGTATCCTTTCACCACTCTTATTCAATCTATATGCCGAGCAAATAATCTGAGAAGCTGGACTACAAGAAGAACGTAGTATCAGGACTGGGGGAAGACTCATTACCAACCTGCCATATGCAGATGGCACAACCTTGCTTGTTGAAAGGGAAGAGGATTTGAAACACTTACTGATAAAGATCAAAGACTACAGCCTTCAGTATGGGTTACACCTGAACACCAAAAACCAAAACCAAACTCACTGCTGTCAAGTCAGATCCAACTCATGCTGACCCCTCCTTGGGTTTCTGAAGCGGTATCACTACAAGAGTAGATTGCACAACCTTCCTTCTGAGAAGTGGCTGGTGGGTTTGAACCGCCACCCTCCTAGTTAGCAGTCAAATGCCTTAAGAAAATCCTCACAACTGGGTCAAGAAGCAACATCATGATAGAGGAAAAGATTGAAGTTGTCAAGGATTTCATTGTACTTGGATCCGCAATCAATGCACATGGAAGCAGCCGTCAAGAAATCAAACAACGTATTGCATTGGGTGAATCTGCTGCAAAAGACCTCTTTAAAGTGTTAAAAAGCAAAGATGTCACTTTGAGGACTAAGGTGATCCCGACCCAAGCCATAGTATTTGTCAACTGTTTCATAAGCGTATGAAGGTTGGATAATAAACAAGGAAGACTGAAAAAAATACACTGATGCCTTTGAACTTTGGTGTTGGTGAAGAACACTGACTATACGATCTGCCAGAAGAATGAACACATCTGTCTGGAAAGACTTACAGCCAGAATGCTCCTTGGAAGGGGGCATGGCAAGACTTTGTCTCACAGACTTTGAGCAAGTGATCAGGAGGGACCAGTCTATGGAGGATATGAGGCTTGGAAAAGCAGAGGGTCAGCAAAAGAGAGAAAGGCCCTCAGTGAGAGATGGGCTGACACAGTGACCGTAAAATGGGCTCAAACACAGCAATGACTGTGAGGATGGCACAGGAGGGGCATGTTCACAAGATCCCGGGTGATTCCTGTCTATACATAACAATCTTGTGAAAATGTAGATTCTGATTCAGTGTATCTGGGGTAGAAGTGCAAATTCTCAGCACAAGGCTGAACAAGAACCAATCGCTTCCAAGCCCTGGACACCAGCCCTTACACAGCTCTCCAGGTGAGCTCTGGGCTAGCAAGGTTGCACCCCACTGGTTTGCGGGAGGGTTTCTCAAAGTGTAACCCAGAGACACCCTGCTTCAGGATCCCAGAATAGTTTGTTAAACATAAGGAACCTCCTGATTCAGACTATGGCTTGAGCCTTAAAGCTGCTGTCCAGCGACTCTTTCGAGGCTCTGCTCAGCTGGACACCACCAAGTGACACAGGTCAAGTGGTTTTGGCCCCAGCAGATCATGGGACACCACCACCACCACAGGACTAGCCCTTGAGAACACACAGAGAACTGGCTGTCCCACGGCACTGTGGCTGAAGGCACCCAGAGCCACACAGGTCACTTAGGTAACCTGCCCAAGGGGCCAGGCCCGGCCGGTTCCTCCTTGTGACCTCAGTTACACTCTACATAAGACGCTGCGTAACAGTGGGCCAGTCTTGCCTCGTCCCACTCATGTCAGGCCGCTGTGAAGACTTCCTCCCACCCTGATCCCAGAGGAAGGGGACAGTGCTCAGCAATGACACTCCCAACAGATCCCAGGCCACCCTCCAATCCTAGGCCCCGCCAGTTGATCCGTTAGAACCCCAAACTACAAAATGAACTCAAGGGGATGTGTAAAAGGGCACAAAGAGACCCCATCGGGGACTAATGAATGGGTTGTTTTAAAGGAAACAACTTTTCCTCTTCCCAGATATTTAAAAAGAACTCAATCTATACACATCATTCTACACTGACCTTTTTTTTCCCCTTTGGCTCATATCTCATACATTTTTATCTTGTTTTTTCCATCTCTTCCATAGCACCTGTCATTAAGTATTTTTCCAAAAAATGATTTTGAATGGCCAAATAATAGTCCATCGTATAAGAAATACCATGACTTACTGAAATCCCTACTGTTGAATAAGGGCTGTCTAGTTTTTTTATGGGAGCTCTGGTAGCATAGTGTCTAAGGCACTTGACTGCTAACCAGAAGGCTGGCAGTTCAAATCCACCAGCCACTCCTCGGAAGGAAATGGGACAATCTACTTCCGTAGTGACAGTGCCTCAGAAACCCAAGGAGGGGTCACTATGAGTCGGGTCTGACTCGACGGCACATAACAACAACAGTTTTTTTTATTATTGTTATAAAATCACGTTGTGATGCTCCTTTTTTGATATTATAAATATGGCTGGGATGAACATTCTTGAACATAAATCTTTTGTCACTGGCTCCAATTATTTCCCTTTGATAGATTTCTAGAAGTATAATCACTGAGTCAAAGGACAAATGCATTTTAAAGCTATGATAAACCAGGATCAAACCCACTGTCATGGAGTCGGTTCCAAATGATACACGGTGCCAAATTACCCTCTAGAATTGCTGCTCCAACTCCCATCCTTGCAGCAGGATGAATGTGTGCTTTATACCATGTTCTGCTAACACTGAGTATCAAAAAAAAAAAAAAGGCAGTTGCCAATGAGTGGATTCTGAATCACAGTGACCCACGTGTTGCAGAGTGGAATTTCACTGTGACCTTCCAAAAGCAGATTCCAGGCCTCTCTTCTGAAGTGCTTCTCGTTAGGTTCAGTCAACCTTTCGGTTAGTGGTAGAATGGAGCACTTAATGTTTGCACCACCCAGGGACTCCACCATTGGGTATCAAACCAAAAACCCATTGTCGTCCAGTCAGTTCCAGCTCACGGCAACCCCATGTGTACAGAGCAGTGAATATACCTTGCTTTAAATCTTTCTTAATTTTATTTGGCATTGTGGTGGTGGTGGTGGTGGTGTTATATGCCATCGAGTCACACCCGACTCATAGTGACCCCTCCTTGGGTTTCCGAGGCAGCATCACTACGGAAGTAGATTCCCCAACCTTCGGAGAAGTGGCTGGTGGGTTTGAACTGCCAGCCTATTAGCTCCTGCATATTCTGTGCATTGCAAATTTTGTAACATTGATCCTCATAGCAACCACATGAGCTAAGTATTATTTTCCTCTATAAACCAAAAAGGAAACCCACTGCCATTGAGTAGATTCAGACTCACAGCAACCCTGTAAAACAGAATAGAACTGCCCCTTAGGGTTTCCAAGGCTGTAAATCTTTATAGGAACAGAATGCCTCATCTTTCTCCTGAGGAACACCTGGTGGTTAGTACCCAAATGCATTAATCACTGGGCCACCAGAGCTCCTTTCCCCTTTATACAGATGGGGAAATGGAGGCTTTAAGAAGTTAAGGGCGGAGTTCCAGCAAGATGGTGGACTAGGCAGAAGGACTGCACA